GCACATACAACTTACTGAACTTTCTCTTTGCCCTGTTGCAGTTAACATACAATGTCAGGACAATGACGATTTCATGGGATATTTCAATCAAGTGGGAAGAAATATTTTCTGAATTAATGGTTTCCATTTCTTGCCATAAAAATTAGCAGTGGTCAGAAGTTGAACAAACTGAATTTGCAGTTAAAAATACCTTTTTGTTTATCTATGGCAGTTCTTATTTTTCTACCATCATAAGTGTTTTTACACTTACATCCTTAAAACCTAATTCCTGATGAATTGCTTCTGGAAAATGGTCTGATATGTGAGTTTTGAAGTGTAATAATCTCACCCCTGCTATAACTGAACAAAAGCCTTTATAACATATTATGAATCTTTAAAAGTATGAAATTGAAACAGATGATAAATTCACTTCAGGCTTATGTTAATTTTACATTAAGGTGATTCAGAAACTGTCAGCTACCGAGACCACCGTTTTGTTTTCCCAGGAGGAATAAGCGACGGCATCATCTGCTCGGCGCCAGGGATTCGGAAGGGGAAGGATCTCCTCAAGGTTCCCTACGAGCTCTTTGGGGCCTGCTCCCTCAGGACAGCTCAGGTGCACCTGGCCAGCAGCCACCACCACCACCATCACCACCACCACCAGCAGCAGCAGCACGGCCACGAGCCCCGTGGCTCGCCCAAGCACGGCCCCCACGGCGAGCTGGCGGCCGGCGGCTGCGAGCCCAAGGCCAGGGCCAGGCCGGCCAGCCTGCGCCACGCCATCGCCACCGTGGTGATCACGGGCGTGGTGTGCGGCGTGGTGTGCCTGATGATGCTGGCAGCCGCCGTCTACGGCTGTGCCCACGCTGCCCTCACGGCCAAGGCCCACAGGGAACACCCGGCCCCGGGCCCGCTGCACGGCGCGGCCCAGGAGCAGCCGCCCTTGGACGGCTCCTTGCCTTGAGCTGCTCCGGCCTGGGCCTCCTGAAAATAAAGGCCCCGCTGCAGCTGGAATGCCTGGATCTCAACAGCGTTAATAGAAATTACCGCGGTTATTTTCTGTCTTTTTTTTTTTTT